TTTTTCTGTCTTTTTGAGACAGGGTCTCTCAGCAGCCCTAGCTGGCCTGGAACTCACTATGTAGACCAGGTTGGCCTTGAATTCACACAGATCTGCCTGCCTCTGTCTCCCAAGTGCTGGGATTAAAGGTATGCGCCACCACGCCCAGTACTCCTGAGATTTTCAAGATGGCAAGTACCAACCCAAAGATTTGACCAGGCCAGCCAGTGCCCTGAATCAGCCTGTTCCACCTTTGGTGCTGCCTGCCTCACCCATTTCCTTTCCAGAATGTTCCATAACAATTGCCCTTTCACATGAAATGCCTGCAGTCATGTGGATGTGGTCTGGGCAGGAGGGTCACAGCACTTGCCTGGAGAACGTGAAGGACTTCCTTTGGGCCTTCCAAGCCCCAAGTTAAGCATGACACACTCAGGAGAGAAACCTGTTTAATAAATGACCAGAGGGCCATGAGATGTCAGTACTGGGAACTTCCTGCATGGAAAGGTGAGCCAAAGCAGAACCAGGACAGCAATGAGACCACCAATTACATAGAATTAGCCATGTCCTCAATGCCACCTGCAACGGTGCTTGACTTTGAGAATGTCTCTGGTCACAAAAGACACAAAGCCCTTTTCCATGTGAAAATCTGGCTTCCTATGCTATCAGGAAACACATTCATGTGGGGGCTAGGGTGTCCAGGTTTAAACAGAAACAAAGCAGACACTGCTTCCTGAGATGACCATTCAGGGCAATCAGCTTGTCACCAGACTCTGTCATCTCTTCCTTCACAGTGAATCAGAAAAAGGATTCCTATTCATGCAGAATGGCCTTCTCCAATCTTATTTTAGGCTAGATAAACAAACAAAATGCCTACAACCAAAGCAAGTCTACCACCTTACAACCTCTGTCCTCAAAACAGAAAAAACGTCTCTATGTCACTCAAGATACTGTCTGGTTTCTTTGGGCTAAACGCAAAAGAGAGTAAGTGCTGAAAGGACTTGGTCCCATGAAGCCACTCACATGTGGACTTAGGTCAACAGAGAATGAAGTTGGGGAAGGAGGCAGGTTGGCCACTTTGAGTACCCTCTACCTTGATACCCACCAGCCATCCATCTTCCCCACTTCTGAATATTATGCTTTGAAATTATACCACACCTCCCAATCAGCAAAATAAAATGGGTCTGCACAGGCAGATGCCACTGTACTTGGAGGGCAGAAGAGAGCTACCGGCCAGATGGAGGCTATGGGCAGTTCACAGAATGGAACCAAACAAAATTCCAGTTGGTTGCCTGAGGATGAGAAGACTAAACTGAGTCATACTAATTGTTGCGGGATCCTATAACTCTTTAAGAGAATCAGAACACACCCGGGAGGCAGAGGCAGACGGATCTCTGTGAGTTCAAGGCCAGCCTGGTCTATATAGTGAGTTCCAGGACAGCTGGGGCTACAGAGAGACCCTGTCTCAAAAAGACCAAAAAACAAAAGAGAATCAGAACAGTAACATTCTTAGATCTGTATGACTGGATCTGAACTTCAAAGGGTCTCTCACTGCCCACCCTTGACTGCACTGGAGCCACATCTACCCAGAGCCACACTCCCCACAGGGCACCCTGGCAGTCCCTACTCAAATGATCCTGATCTGCACATCCCTTTCTGTAGGATTAAGTAGATAAAACACAGGATGCCAGAGGTTGGAGAGTTGGCTTAGCAGTTAAGCGTACTTGCTGCTCTTCTAGGGGACCTGGGTTTGAATCCCAGCACCAAAATGGGGGCTAACAACCGTCTGTAACTCCAGTTCCAGGGGATCTAACATGCTTTTCTGGACTCCGTGGCACTACAAGCATGTAGTGCACATATATATATGTAGGCAAAACATTCATATACATACAGTAAAAATAAATCTTAAAAACATAGGTAGGATGCTAATTTTGGTTTTCATACAAATGTTTTTCAAAGAATGCATTCTTTGTTGTTTATATGCAATTTGCACCTGGTATTTTTATTTGCCGAATCAGTGGGCCCTACCCTCAGGTCTGTCTTTCTGAGGACCCACAAATGGCATATGAGTAACACCTTCAGAAAGGAGGCAGATATCTGTGGGAGCAGATGCTGCACTGTCCTCATCAGCACAGGCTCAGAATGAGGATGGATTAGAGAAGCGGGCTTCAGGCTAGCAATGTGAAAGACGGGTCTGCAGTGGGAAGTGATGTCACTGAGCACAGCCTTCTCAGTTTTAAATATTGGATATGGATTTGAAACAATCTTATTTTCCTTTAAAACACCATTTAGACCAAACAATCCCCCACGGGGCCTTCTCTTTGGAATGAGGAAATTCCAACCATTGCTGGTGGCTCTGTTTCTAGTCTGCTATTACATCCACACTTTGACAAAGCCGACAAAGCAAAAGCCTCAACCTCACAGGAGGAAAGGAATGTGAGCACGCTGTAGGTATGTGAGAGCGACTTGGGGACTTGGGAGAGGAATAGCTGTTGGATGCTCTGACGTGGCCGCTGCAGGAGGGGAAGGAAACCAAGGCAAGCATAGAAGGAGCTGGGGCCACAGAAACATGAAACACAGGACACCCTCCTTTACTCTAGACCCACATGTGTAGAGGCCAGCGGGCAACGTCAGGTATCTTCCTCAAGTGCTTCCACCTTATTTTATTTTTTGAGGCAGGGCCTCTTAGTGAATCGAGAGCTCACAAATTCAATTAGACTGACTGGTCAACAAGCCCCTGGGATCTGCTTGTCTCTCCCCAACTACTGGGGTTACAGATGTGCTGCTACACTTGGCTTTTACACAGGTGCTGGCGATCTGAATGAAAAGCCTCATGGTTACATGGTAAGCTCTTTATGACTGAGCACCTTCCCAGTCCCTAAGTTCCAGATTTTAAAAAATATGATTTATTATTATTATTAATTATTGTTTCTTTGAGATAGAATCTCCCTGTAGCCCCAGCTGACCTGAACCTCACTATGTAGACCAGGCTGGCCTTGATCTCACAGAGATCCATCCACGTTTGCCTCCTGAGTGCTGAGATTAAAGGCATGCACCACCACACCCAACTATTTTTTAAAATTATGTATACATGCATATGTCTGTATATGAGTATATGTTCATGAATACAGGTGCCTACAGATCCAGAAGAGGGCATTGGATACCCTGGAGCTTGAGTTACAGGCAGTTGTGAGATGCCCAACATGGATACTGGGAACTAAACTCAGGTCCACTATTAAAGCAGCACAAGCGCTTAACTGCTGACTCATCTCGTAGTTCTAAATCCTACATTTTATAGGAATTTCGGAATGGTGCTGTGCACAATGTTAAACAACTCTGGTCAAACCCACACTCTCGAACTCAAGTCTGCCTATTTCCTGCCTATTCCTATGACATCATGTAACTGCTTGGATGAGAGTTCCTTAAGGAGGGCAAGGAACATTATCCTTTCCCATGACTCCAGGGCAACAGCAATTTGCTTAAAAAATATGTTTCAAGAGGACCAGTGGGATGGGGAGGAAGCAGAGGGTAGCAGAGGGTAAAGGGGAGCTGGTGAATGCGGTCAAAGTGCATTAGATGCATATGTGAAACTGTCGTCATCAAACCCACAATTTCATCTGATTAATATGCACTAGGAATATTTTTTAATTGCATTTTAAAGAAAAAAAGTGGGGAAGAGAGAGGTGGGGTGAGAAAGAGAAGGAAAATGAAAAGCCTCCCTTCCCAGTTTTCTGTATGTCAGAAAAGAAAAGAAAATAAGCCACTCCAGTAACGTAAAAACATCCTCAAAACCAAGAGGGTAGCAAGAGCCTACAAATTGCTAGTTATGTGGGATCTTTTCTTCGCTTTAAGTTAGGGACTAAATATAGACCCAGAGAGTCCTCAGACAACCTCCAAGGTACTTCCCAATTGGAGTACCTCATCTTCAGGCTGCTCCCCACTCAGCAGGAGGCAGAGGAGACAGACTGCTGTGTCCCAGTGACACTGACCTGAACTGGATAAAATATTGCCTGCAGGGTGGGAAGGGTCTCGGTGAAGAAGTGGTCCCAGACTTCAGCTAGAACCTCAATGCGACTGTCACCTACACAAGGATGAAAAGATGGGAGGGGAGAGAGAAAGAGAACATGTCATTACTCATAGGACAGACCATAGGACAGTTCCTTCCCAAATGTGAAGTCACATGTACTAGGGGAGTTGTAGCTAAGAGCTGTTGACATCCAGATAGCACTGTCAGGATGCTACAGGGTCTTCATCCCCCAAAATTCTCAGAAATAGATTGACCTCATAGGATGCACACTGTGACTGAAATTCCCACTTCACTAGTAAGACCTTGAATGTGAGGAACATTTGGGGAGTGAGAGGGGAGAGACATTTTGAACCAAAGTGTAACTGAGGTCAGTGTAGGATGAGGTGGTGCTAGGGCTGGATGTGGAATGTCTCCCAAGGATTCATGTGATGGAAGCTCTGTCTCCAGTGTGGTGGTATTAAGAGATGATCAGCTGGGCATGAAGGTACACACTTGTAATCCCAGTGCTTAGAAAGTGGAGGCAAGATCATGAATTTGAGGTCAACCTGGGATATATAGTGAGTTACAGGCCAGTTTGTGCTATATAGCCAACTCTTGTCTCACAAAACCAAAAGAGAAAGGAAAAGAAAAAGTGATGGTGGGACAGAACCCTTTAAGAGGTGCCGCCTAATGTGATGTTAGGTTACTGGGGGTCCTGGCCTTTCATCAGATTAATGCCAAGATTGCGGAGTGAATCCCCTTTGGAGAGGGTAGTTGTAAGAGTGAGCTTGCTTCTGGCTTCCTCTCTGGCTTCCTGTCCTTCCATGTTAGTCTCTTCCACACATGCCTATCACCATAATGCCATCTATCATGCAGATCCCACCAGAGGCCAAACCAGGTTTTGGACACTGAGTCTCCAAAACTGTGATCCAAATCAACTTCTAATTTATAAAGTGACCTCAGGTATTTTGCTATAGCAAAATTCAGGTGGGCAGACCCAACTGAAAACACTCAGTGTGCCTTTCTATCCCCCAACCCAGAAAACGGAAGTGAAGATTTTAAATCATGTGGGATAATTATTGTCCCATGACTGTTTACAGCATTATCAGGCACTGTGCTAAACTATTGATCAATAAGATATGAGTAGACCCTGTTACCCCATCTTCCAGGCTCAGAGAAACCAAGTAACCAGGCCAGTTATCACACAGCTCAAAGGAGAAGTGGGATCCCAACACCATGCTCTTTACCTACCTGTTCCCTGAAGATGGTTTGTGCAGGTCTAAACTGCTGTTTGCTCAGTCACTAATGCCATGGCCCGATTCTGGGTGTGAGCTGTCAGAAGTAGAGTGTCACCTCTGCCCACTGCCTCCGTAACTGGAGGGCCACTGCAGAGGCCACTTCTTGACTATGCTGCTCATTCCTAGCACCAGAAAGCCAAGTGCCACCCACAGGCTAGAGGACACAGGTCACCCCATGCCACCAAAGGACTGTGAAAGTAGAGAGACCGGTTGTGGTGGCAGCTGCTTAATGACCTATATGGCAGAGCTGATGGTCTACTGTCTGCTCATCCTGGGCAGAGAAATTGGGTCAACCAAGACTAGACACCAAGAGACATATTTGGCAGAACACTGCTAGCTCCATGGAACAAATCTTGAAACATGCATTTAGTTTCTTCCACCTATTAATGTAATGAACAACAGAAATAGTGCCTGGGGAGAAAGCAAGAAACAAAACAGCTAGTTGCTAGTAGGTCAGGGTGGATACAAACCCATGCTGCCCTCCACCTTCCCTGGCAGAGCACTATCACACTTTGCTGGAACTACTGGTTTCCATCCTTGTGTCTTAGAACCTGAGTGATGGGGGCTGGGTCTGTCCTTCTCGCCAGTACATTTCTGGTGCACAGCACCAAGCCAGACACATTAATAAACCAATATGTAAAACCCTTCATCGGAATGAATGGCAAGTACCAAGCATGTAGGTATTTGTGGATACCAGTTCTGGTAAGAGGCGGGAGGCACAATGTGACCCAAATAGGAGACAGTAGAGAGGGTAGGACATCCTGGTTAGTAAGAACATTTTCCTTTTTCTCTTGGGATAAAGGAAACTTCCATAGTGTTGCCTATACAACCAAGAGAATCTATCACCTCCTATGTCTTCACCCTGCATGGGATTTCCTTCGGTTTGGGCTGTGGCTATTCAGATTCTATCTCAGCCCTTCACACTCACCAAGCTTCTGCTCAGACTGCTCTTTCCCTCCCTCTCTGCCTAGCCTACATGTTAACCCTCCTAGTTTTAGTTCAGAATTCATTCTTACAGGAACTTCCCCTCAGTTAGTCAAGCCCTCCCACCCCGTGGGAAGAACTCATCCTGGTTACAGAAATACACACATACACACACACACACACACACACACACACACACACACACACACACATTAATATAGGATGCTTTGATTCATATCTGTCCCCACTTCCAATTTAGGAGCCCCATAAGGGCCTATAATCTGAGGACGGTTTTCTAGGGCCCCCAGCAAAGGACCTTGCTTCCATTATGACTGCTTAGCATTTGATTGGATCAGCAGCCACAGAGCACCCTCTTTCAAATACAGGCAATGCTCCATAGCTACAGAGAGGGGGTGAGGAGTCAAAGGGTCTACCCTGAAACTCTAGGTCATCCTGTCCTAAATCCAACTGAACCCTATTAGTTGCTTTGTTGATGGCCCATATCTGCCTACAAAAGACCAGCAGAGGCCCTTGGAACCTAGGACAGGAGAGAGAACCCTTCAGGCAAGACTGTCTGTTTCTGTGCCAGGTGGAGTGCACAAGGCAGTCCTTCAACCCAGGAGCCATGAGGTGTCTCCTGTGAAGCTCCATCAGACTGCTGGCTACAAATATCAGGGAGGAAAGGAGGTTCTGGAAAGTGCTATGTGAGAACACCAGACACAGAGCAGGCTATGGGGAAGAAAGAGTTAACGGCAACAGTGACTTCACATCCAAAAACAGTCCACAAGTTAAGGAATTAGCCCCCTGCAAAAATGAAGGTGGTTTGAATGGAATCGTCTAGGTGTCTGTCTTATCAAATCTGTCCTCTGGTGTACCACAGGAGTTTAGATCACCAGAAAAATACAGGCAGCCATCAGGAACATCCTGAAAGGCTAGGTCAGTACAGCTGTCAGAGACTGAGAGCAACACCCTTTCCCCTGTGCACCAGCCACCATCAAGTAGCACTGAACACAGAAACATGCAAGTACAACAGAATACAGAAGAACACAGCAAGAACACAGAAACGCTGTCAAGGGAGCTTTGCTCAGCAATAGAGCACATTGATTGTTTCTAAACTTTATTTTTACAGCACAAGAATCCTTCAACCAAGCAAAATCTTTCTTAAAGTTCTAACACTGAAGATATTCTCTTTGAAAATGGGAGTCTCTTAAAAGCCCCGCCACACCCACATCTATTCCTGTGTAGAAAGGGCCCCAACACTACAACCCTGCGACTAGGAGACCTCAAGGGAAGGCCTAACTGCGTCCCTGGCCATGCTTTGTGGCATGGGCACAGAATCTTGGATGCTCTTTGGTGCTCCCATCTATCTCCAACTTCTGAGTTTAGTTTGCAGAGTTGGGAAAAAATGACAACCTAAACATAGTCTAGAGAAAAACAGTGACAGGTTCAAGGAGCCTCAGACGGGTTTCCTTCTAAAGGTTTAGAGGGCACTCACTGCATCCAAGCACTGGAGCTTTCCAGCCTTGGTAGACCCAGGTTTAATTCCCAGCACACACACCAGTGGCTAACAACCATCTGTAACTCCAGTTCCAGGGGATCTGATACCCTTTTCTGACCTCCTCAGGCACTGCACGACATGGTTGTACTTACATACAGGCAGGTAATACATTCATACATATAAAATAAAAATAATAAAGAAAATATTTTTTAAAATAATAAAAAAATGAGTCTTGGAGCTAGGGCTGCAGCTCAGTTGCCAAAGTGCTTGTCGAGCATGTACAAAGCCTCCCGAGGTGGAAGCAAGCAATTCAGAAGTTCTAGATCATCTTCTGCTACATATCGCATCTCAGGTCAGCCTGGGATATACGGGGCCCTATCTTTTTTTTATTATTTTTATTTTATGTATATGAGTATATTGACTGCATGCATGTAAGTGCATCCATGTTGTACAATGCCCATGGAGGTCAGAAGAGGGTGTCGGATCCCCTGGAACTGGAGTTACTGACTGTTGTTAGCTGCCATGTGGGTGCTGAGAATTGAACCTGGGTCCTCTGCAAGAGCAGCCAGTGATCTTAACCACTGAGCCATCTCCCCAGTCACGAGACCCTATCTTTAAAGAACAACAAAAATGACACTCAAGAAACTAGTAACTTGTCAAAAGTCACCTAAGATCTAGGGGACAGGCTAAGATCAGGTCCCAGGTCAGTAGCCCTTGGTGGAATTGAAGGGGTTGACCCATTCTTGCCTTTGGGACCATCTCCCATCTCTGATTAGCTCCTTTCCACCCTGTCAGTTAGATTCTAAAACCACAGCACAGACCAGGAAATCCTTCTTCATCTGTCAGATCACACCTCATTGAGCCTGTTTATCCCCAAAATAGGGGATAAACTGTGACTCCAAGAAATACATTGTAAAGGTGGATGGGAAGCCACTTAGGGCAGACCAGAGAGAACAGCACAAGAGAATCTGGAGTACAGTGGCTGACTGTACCTCTCCAAAGGAGAACACTAGGATACATCTGTGAAAATCCCTTACCAAGGTCTCCATGACATCAACCCCACCCCCATTTCACTCCAACCTTCCAAACACAGTCTGCCTTGCAGTGTCAGGGGAAGCTGGTTCAAATGGAAGTGCCACAGAGTACAGGAAGAGGCAGGCAGACAGGGTGACTCACTCGCTCGGAGCCTGCTGCTTTTGGACAGAAGCATCTCAGCTGTCCAAACATCAAAGGCTGAGTCACAGCCCCATACTGCAGTTCCTCGTACTTGCCTTCACACAGCTTGATCTTCTCCTCCACAAAGAACAGTCCTTTTGCAAGAAGCTGGTTCTGCCAAAAGAGAACAAAGAGCACAAGAGTTGGGTGACTCCGAGCAGGAGTGACCAGCCCTCCTCCGATACCAACTTTCAAGTGCAGAGTTCCAGGCCTGGGCGCTACTCAGGCCTCCAAGTTTAAGAAGCCTTTTGTCCTCGTGGAAGGTCAGGGCCTCAGGGAAAGACCATGAGACACCCCACAGCCAAAAGGCACTAAGCCAGGAAGTCAAATGCAGCTGCCACCTCTGCCTCTCAAACTAGAAGAGACACGAAAGGGGCTCAGCCCTATTCTCTGTCAACTCCCAGCATCTCTGAGGCCCTTCATGATCTAAACCCATGAAGGGAGCCTGGAAGAATGGGGGATTAGGAGGAGAAAGACTTTTTTTCTTTTAAGAATAAATTAGAGGTTTCTCACACTCACATGAAAAAGACCACATGCAAACTCTTCAGTGACAGTGATTATGTATGTGTCCATCAGTGGAGGGAGAGTTGTGGAGAATCAGGCTAAGTCTGGTTATGACTAGCAATAAGTGGGTGTCCTGCATCTATCAGAGACTGAATCCTTCATCACATTTACTTCAGCCCTGTCCGTGGGAATTGTCCTCACCTACTGAGGGCAGCAGAGAAGACACAGGCCCGTGGGAGACAGAGCTGCTTTTCCTGGTTCCAGAAGTTATGCTGTTCCTCTTCTACTCTGCAACCTTCCTACCAGGAATCCCCATTCTTCCCCCAAAGGGCTACAGCTGGTCCCTAAGACCTGGAACCACCCCTGGGTGAGCCACAGAAACTCTGAGATCAGTGATAGCCTAATGCCTTTCTACACCTCCCTCATCAGATTACCAAAGGCCTGGGCTCACTAGTCAGAGAGGTAGAGGCAGAGGTGGTGTGTGCTTACAAAAAACCAAAATCAGGGGCTGGAGAGATGGCTCAGCGGTTAAGAACACTGACTGTTCTTGCAGAAGACCCAGGTTCGAATCCCAGCACCCGCATGGCAGCTAACAACTGTCCGTAACTCCAGTTCCAGGGGATCCAACAGCCTCTTCTGTCCTCCATGGGCACTGCACGACACGAGTACACTTTGCCTACATGCAGGCAATACACGCATCACATGAAATGAAAATAATAAATAAAATATTTTTTTAAAAAACCCAAACCAAAATCAAAACCCCAGTGCACTCCTTTGTAAAACCCCAAGAGCCTAATACAGTGATGCTGAGAACATCATGTGGGTACCACACAGGTTCCGGTCCCACCTCAGCTACTTGATTTTATTTATGTAGCTAGTTATTTATTTAGTTATTTAGTTAGTTGGTTAAGTTAGTCAGTCAGTTACAGACAAGTTCTCACTAAGTAGCCCAGGCTGGCCTCAAACCTGCAATCTTCCTTCCTCTGCCTCCCAAATGCTGGGATTGCAGGTATGTTCCACCCTATCTGGCTTTCAGCTACTTTTCTTCCTTTTCCCCCACTAACTATATTATCTTATTATATTCTAAATTGATTTTAATACATTTTAAATTTTTAATTGACATACAATATAGCTTCATAGTTGTGACATTTTAATCCATGTCTGCAGCGTGCAATAATCAGGTCACTGTAACTAATGTATCTCAGATACTGAGCATTTCTTTGGGTTGGGGACATTTAAAATCCTCACTCTTCAAAACACACATATAAGTGTTGTCAGTCGTAGTGTCCCAGCTACTCCAGAGAACATTTCCCACTATTCTTCCTGTCCAGGCGCACACCTATATGATAGTCATTTTCTAGCACTGAGTCTTGGTGCATACTTTTCCTCTGTCCTGGCTTTCTCTTCTGTATAGTGCTATTACTGGTATATCTATAAATTTCTTGCAAAAGCTAATCACTATAGACACACTCAGCATCTTCCCAGAGTGACAAGCAAAGAAAGACAGTAATGAATGGACCTTTAATAAGTGTACAAAATGTCAGGGGCAAGGGAAGAGTGGGGGTGCACTTGCTGTGTGTGCACATATAGAAGCCAGAGGTGGATGTCAGAAAGTCTTTCTCAATCTCTTTTCCACTTTATTTTTTGAGAGAGAATCTCTCACTGAACATGCAGAATGTTATTTTCAACCAACATGCCCCCAGGATCCTCCTGTCTCCACCTCCCCAGCACTGGGGTTATGGACATATACCACTACACCTGGCTTTTACATGGATCCTAGGGACCTGAACTCAGGATTTTTTGTTTGTTTGTTTGTCTTTTTGAAGCAGGGTCTCTCTGTAGCCCCAGCTATCCTGGAACTCACTATGTAGGCTAGGCTGGCCTTGAACTCACAGAGATCCGTCTGCCTCTGCCTCCCAAGTGCTGGAACTACAGGTGTGCGCCACCATGCCTGGTTGAACTCAGGTTTTTATGCGTGCCCAACAAGCACTTTATTCATTGAGCCATTTCCCCAGCCCCAGGACAAAGATATTTTATCAAAATTGCTATCATATTTCTGTGACTGGTGCACATGCTAAATTCTATAATCCCACTGAGATTCACAGATATGACCTAATTTTAAAATGTAATTGGCTACTGTTTATAGTTTCAAGATGGCAGATAGAACCTTAATCAAAGTTAGAATGATATCCTACACCAATTCTGTTTGAGGGGAAAAAAAATCACATCTTTCAATATTATGGAATGTACAGGAAATTACAATAAAGCTCTAACCTGTTTTCCAGCTCTGGCTCAGAAAATGAATCCTGCCTCTGGGTCAGAGATCATGAACATAGCCCAACCCCAAGTCAGAGTAATCGACACCTTGTGAAGCTGATCTGGATGTAAAAGATTGCACACATGTGTGGGAATGACAGTCACTCCACCTGAGCACAAATCCCACCCACTGTGACCTTGGAGTCTCAATCCCAAACCTCCTTTTCAGTAAAGTTCTCAGAACATCTCCCCAGCACTCTGTGTAAGACTCCTAAATGTCTGTCAATGCTAACGCCCCAACCTTCTTCTAAAACAATTCTGCAAGTCCTTCTTAACTTCACATTTCTAGGACACCTCTTCAAATGTAACCAAGACTCCCTCCAGGATGGGTTTAGAGCATTTTGTCCAATCACTCTAGTTATGTGCACTTACGGGAGCAGTGGGAAGCTGGGATGCTAAGAGAAATAAAAAACCTAGTCCAGGTTTTAGTATGAATTCATAAAAAAATACATCCAGGCCTGGGATGATGGGTAAGAGCACTTGCTATGTAAGCATGAAGATCCAAGTTCAAACCCCCAGCACTAACCCTAACCCCAGAATTGTGTGGTGCTGGAACGGGAAGATCCCTGGGGCTTGCTACCAGCCTGGCTCCAGGTTCATTGAGAGATCTGGACTCAGAGGAACACAGTGGAGAGTGATAGAGCAGGACACCTGACCTCCTCTGGCCTCCACATGCACACACACACACACACACACACACACACACACACACAGAGACACACACATACACACACACACACACACACACACACACAGTCCAATTACATATCTACTAGGCTTTTAGATTCTCGAGGACAAGGGCCATTTCTTACATCAATACCCTGCTCCCAGCATGGGCCGGGTATAGTAGGTACTCGTTTTCGTATTTGTTGAACATAGAGGCTACCTATTTTGGTGATAGGAATTATTTCATATTTTTAAGGAGTCAAGATAAGAAACAAAACATTTTTAAGAGAGGGAAGATAGCATAGGGTCCCTAAACCTGTTACTATTTTCTTCATTTGATAAAAATTCCTTTGCCCAAATCTGAAGGAATAAATTTCAACAGGTGGCCTGTGTTAGGGATGTTACAGGGAAAACTATGTTCCCAAAGAAAAGAAGTTATTCCTGGATTATGGGGAAATGATACCGGAAACTTTCATTTTAAGGCTCTCATGATACACAGCATGAAAGTGCTGTAGCTTAAATCAAAGTAAACAAAAACATGGGGAATGCTGGTGCCTTGAGGTCATCTAGTCCATCTCCTTGCCCTGATCCTGTAGTCAACATGGACTGCTCACACACAGACTTGCTGGTATTTAACTGGCCCCCATTTTCCAAGAAGCCAAAGCCCCTTGAAAAGCATGCTACAAATGCTTTGATCTCCAGTAACTGAGGCTAGATTAAGGTCTCCCTCCCCCAAACTCCAACACCCAGGAATGCAGCTCAGACTCCCTTAGGCAGCTTTTATTCAGTACCTATTGAATCCTGATCCTTTGGGAGCAGCCCAGCATCTAGCTCCAGTTTTTCTGAAGAACTGCTGTCATCCGCCCAGTGGAGCTGTGACCCCCATTCTCTGGACCATAGCCACATTTTCTGCTGAGCTGCCAGGACTGCTCTAGTTCTGCCTCTCCTGGGACTCCACCTAGCCAAGTGTTCCCTTCAGGGACTCTGCAGTGGCTTGGACTCCTGCACCGTGGAGGATCCAGCAGTCCTCAGGCCTTGCACTTGAAGGGTGCTGCATTTTGGGTTTTAGCACTCTGCTGTTGCTGTCTTTAAGTCCCGTGTGTGTGTGTGTGTGTGTGTGTGTGTGTGTGTGTGTGTGTGTGATATGAGGGCGGGGGGGGGGGTGCTGTGTGTGTGTGTGTGTGTGTGTGTGTGTGTGTGTGTGTGTGTTATAAGTGAGGTCTGGTGGGACTGTGCAGCAGCAATTCACTGGAAGCCTGGAGCCACCACCTCCCAGTGGAGTCTGCGGGCATCTGCATTTCCCACCCTGGTGTCTGAGCCACACCCACACTTCCTCTGCAGTACCTACCACTGATGTTACCCTACCCTTGGGGTGGTGATGGGTTTTGTTTGTGAGCATGGTGCATAGAGGTCAGGGCTGGGCAATGCTTACAAATTCTTGGCCAGCATCACGGTGGCAGCCATCCTCTGGTCATATGTGCTATGGCACATACTCTAGTGACTCAGTGGGCCCTGTTATGTGCCCTACTCCATGGTCTATGTGGCAGAGTGCAGAGACTGTCATCTATCTTTTTCATTTAGATCTGGGCCCTACAGATTATGCAGCCCACCCTCTGCCAACCACTTTA